AAGAAAAGAGAAATTCAAGATTCGAATTTGAAAAAGAATCAAGATGATGGAAAAATTTTGGAACGAAATGAAAATATTGAAATCTCCATCAATTACGTAAATAATGGGAAAGTTTGGAAGCATGATGAGATCATTGATGATGCTTTCGCATATATGGTATCACAAGAAATTGACAAAGAAGTTGAGGATCCTGAACCAAAATCTATGATTGAATGTCAGAAAAGACATGATTGGGACAAGTGGAAAGGTGCTATTCAAGCCGAGTTAAATTCGCTTAATAAACGAAAGGTTTTTGGACCTATAACCATTATACCCAAAGACATAAAACCTATTGGGTACAGATGGGTTTTTGTCAGAAAAAGAAATGAGAAAAATGAGATCACAAGATATAAAGCTCGCCTTGTAGCACAGGGATTCTCCCAGAGGCCTAGGATTGATTATGATGAAACATATTCCCCTGTTATGGATGCAATTACTTTCAGATACTTGATTAGTTTAGCCATCCATGAAAATCTTGAGATGCGTCTTATGGACGTTGTGACTGCTTACTTATATGGATCGTTAGACGCTGACATTTATATGAAAATTCCAGAAGGAATTAGAATTCCCGAGGCACTAAAGTCCAAACCTAAAGAGTTATGTGCGATAAAACTGAAAAGATCATTGTATGGCTTGAAACAGTCCGGGCGTATGTGGTATAATTGTTTGAGTGAACAATTACTTAAACGTGGGTACATAAATAATCAAATATGCCCGTGTGTTTTTATAAAAAGATCACAAGATGGAGTTGTGATAATTGCTGTCTATGTCGATGATCTTAATATTATTGGGACTACAAATGAAATTCAAGAAGAAGTCACTTTACTAAAAGGCGAATTTGAAATGAAAGATCTCGGACAAACCAAATATTGTCTCGGCTTGCAAATAGAACGAGTCCAAAATGGGATATTTGTCCATCAATCTAATTACACTAAAAGAATTCTGAAACGATTCAATATGGACAAGGCTAATCCACTTAGTGCCCCAATGGTCAATCGAACATTAGATGTCGAAAAGGATCTATTTCGACCTTGTGATGAAGATGAAGAAATACTTGGTCCTGAAATACCATATATGAGTGCAATAGGGGCTCTTATGTATCTTGCAAATTGCACCAGACCAGATATATCTTTTGCTACTAACTTGTTGGCGAGATATAACTCGGCACCTACAAGGAGGCATTGGAATGGAATTAAGCATATATTCCGTTATCTCCAAGGGACAATCGATTTGGGACTGTTTTACTCTAACGATAAAAAACATGAAATAATCGGTTTTGCAGATGCAGGATATCTATCAGACCCCCATAAAGCAAGATCTCAAACCGGTTACGTTTTCACAATTGGCAGAACTACATTTTCTTGGCGTTCCCAGAAACAAACATTAGTTGCGACGTCTTCAAACCATGCTGAGATCATTGCACTCCATGAAGCAACTAGGGAAAGTATCTGGCTCAGAAACATGACTCAACATATTCAACAAGCCAGTGGACTATCGAACAATAGTGACCCGACGGTGATATTCGAAGACAATGCAGCATGTGTCGCTCAAACCAAAGTAGGATACATCAAGAGTGACAGAACTAAACATATCCCGCCAAAGTTATTCTTATATGCGCAAGAGCTTGAAAGAAACAAACAAATCAAAGTTCAATACATTCGATCAAGCGATAATGCAGCAGATTTGTTTACGAAGGCGCTTCCGACGACAATATTTCGAAAGCACGTGCACAATATTGGAATGAGACATCTTCGAGATTTGCACGGATGATAACTCGAGGGGGAGTATGTGCGGCTGTTTGTAATATTTTTGTGAGTGGATAAATTAGTAACCGAGCTATCCGGACTCGGGTTGTTCTCAAAGGAAGACTGTTCGGAGCGTCGTTTACTATCTAGTCGTCAAAATTCGCA